TTCTCACCACAGATCACAATGTCATCTGCAAACATCATAGTTTGTAGATGACTTCTGACTGCATTGAACTGATTGACCCAGATTTGAAACCAGTGTCAAATAGTTGTTACACCTAGGGTCAAACTGGTTTGTACTTACTAATTTACAAAAGGAAACACAGAATAACGTCCTTGAATAAAATCCCTATCTTGAATTTTAATGAGATAATATTTGGTAGTTTATAATTAATGTGCCACTCAATGTATGGCTACGGCCAGCTGATTTTTGGCAGGATGAACTAAGCCACAGTCGCTCTTTCTTCTTCCACAGCTTCACTGGAAACGTTTGCTGGACCGAATTTTCCATGACAACTTCTCTGAAGACGAAGAGATTGTGGTGCTCGCCACTGATTACATACAGAAAGTCTCCGACATCATCAAGACAACTTCAAAGAGGTAAAGAAAGTGAAAACAGCTCTGCTGGGGAGCAGTGAGAGAAAGATGGGGGCGAGGCATTGTATGGAAAATCCATTAGACGCATGCATTTTTGAAGCTGTACTTTTTGAGCGTAAGCGTTTTAGTTTGAGGTTTGTGTGTGTGTGTGTGGGGGGGGGGGGCAGTCCTCAGACTTGGAGCCACAGCCCACTGTCACAATATGTATGGATTATTTTTTGAGTGCTCCTTTGCACATAATTGTGTACACGTTTGTGTGCGTTTGTGTGTGTGTGTTTGGTGAGCCACTGTTGGGTGAACTTCCAGTCCTCCTGCAGCTGATTGTTATTGATCCGCAGCCACATCTTTCTACCTCCTGCAGACTCACACAGATGCACATGAATAGACGCCGACACACTCTTTTTTCTCCTCCTTCAGGGGAGGCATTGTAATGCTGCACATCAGGATTTGTGTTACAGCCACTGACAGCTCACCAACCTCACCAACAGTCTCTGTGCTCAACACAAATGCACAGCAGCTCTCTGCCGTCATGCACGGCTGACTGGCTGAACGACTGGCGGCTGGGATTCCTGCTCGTCTTTTATGTCTCAGACAGGATACATCTTTTCATAACAACATAACATATTCAGACATTTTGGTAATTTCATGAATCACCAGTTCACATCATTACCGCCTCATTCAGTGCTGGTCATTTCATCACCTCCTCCCACCATTCCAAACGTGCACACTGTTGCATCCTGCAGTCTTTGATTGATTTTGTGCCAAGCTGAGGCCTGGTCACTTATTGATTACCTTTACACAAAGTATGGAATCAATTAAGAAGAAACATATCCACTTTAAATCATGCTTTGAAATTGCAAATTTACTAAAGTCAGACTAAGATGTGGAATGACTGATGGTTTTTGTTTTGCAAAAGCCAAAGTAATTTACTAATGTAGAAATAGATTATGTTCTAGAAGTAATCACTGTGAGCAGTTTCTATTGATCCGGCTAGGTTTGATGCGAGTTGTTAGAGAAAAGTATTCCAGAGTAAAGCTCCTTTGTATTATTCAGCCTGACACTGGGCTAGGTAGGTGGGACGGTTGTTTTTTCCCCATGTGTTTGTTTGTTTATATGTTTTGTTGTTTTTGACCAATAAGCAAATACATTTCTTCTGCAAATACAACTTCCAAATAACTTAATGTACTTAGTTCTGGAAACTCTGTCTGTCTGTCTGTCTGTCTGTCTGTCTGTCTGTCTGGTATGAGAACAAGTGTGTTGAGAGCATGCAAACAGACAGAGTTTTATTCAAGCCACAGCACTAAATGCAACTATTTGACGTGACCATGTCAGATTTGTTTCATCGGTCTAGATTGTTTGTTTTTTATTTAATCAACATATTTATATGTTATGGTTTGTAAATGTTATTATAATATTTTGGTAGTACTTGTTTTTAAATGTTTTGATATTGTTTTGCATTTTTAATTAGTGCAATATGATTTTATAATGGGCAGCACGGTGGCTCAGTTGCTAGACATGCTGTCTCTCAGTGAAAAGGTCGCCAGTTCAAACCTCGGCCGGGGTTCTTTCTGGGTGGAGTTTGGATGTTCTCTCTGTGCTGCGTGGGTTTTCTCCAGGTACTCCAGTTTCCTCCCACAGACCAACTACCCAGACCGACAACAGCAAAATGTTGGTGGGAAAGGTGAAACACCCACACCTGCCTCCACCCTCATCTGCCCCATTCTAGGCCCTTGAGCAAGGCCCTTAACCCCCACCATCTGCTCCCCCAGGCGCCCCAGATATCAGCTCTCTGCTCCACACAGAGGGCTGTGGTAGCTCAGTGGTTTGTGTTGGGTCAGGAAGAACATCCGGTGTAAAATATCTGCCATGTCTTCATGCGAGTTAGTTCACTGTGGCGACCTCTGAAGAAGGAGCAGCCGAAACAAGAATAATAATAATAAATAAATGCACTGTCCTTTTATGCATGACATTAAACAATTTGAACTTTTTGAACTTGAACTTGAATTCAAAATGGCTGTCATGGCCAGCTCACCTCAGAAAACTAATTCCAGCAATACTTCAGTCAATTTTATAGACATTTGGCAACAAAATTTGTTGTGATTGTAAGTGTCATTCACATCATTGCTCGTTCTTTCCTTGAGGCATTACCATTATTCTTTAGACTCAGCTCTGTTTGTCTCAGTAAAACACCCAATGAACTAGTGGACAATTGTTTAATTAACTCTCAGTAATTAATCACTGAATGTGCATCTACAGCTGATTAACTTTTAGTGTAAATCCAATTCTAGATAGCCACCACAGCTAATCAACATAAGGTAACACAATTTATTTTATTTTATTTTTTATAGATGAGCTATGAGCTAAAGTTGTAGTAGTTGAGAGCCGTTGCCAACACAAACACTGAGCGTGACATCATGTTTTTGCATTAACTTGCACATAACGCTTTATTCAAAGTGTGACTAAAATGCTCTAACATTTTTCAATATGAGATTATTTTAGTCTAAAACTGGTGTGAACGCAGCTAACATGCATTTCTTCAAGAAATGCTAGGCCTTTCATTTTGTTGCTGTTTTGCCGTATTCTTAAAGGTTAACTTTTTTAACAGTATGGTACCATCTTCACTCATACCCATCAAGCCTGTTTCACTGCTCCTCTGATGCTTTGTCTGGGCCATGTTGTTTACCACTTCTTTCAGCTGTGCTTCCATCTATCCCCCCTGATGGCTTTTGTAATGAATTCTACACTATGTTTCAATCACTCCTGTCTACCTGTCTCTTGTTTTCCCCACAAGTATCTAACTGACAGCATGTGCTTTCTCCCTTTTATCACTCATTCAGCGTTTGGCAGATATGGGCTTCAGTGTGCAGCTACACACTTTATACTTGGAAGATTCAGTAGTTTTGTTGAAAAATCTCTTCATCCTGTACTATTTAAAATAACTAGCGATCGAGAACACCATGTTGTTTCTCCTTCAACTGAAACTCAACAGCAAACTGTTTCATCTCTTTAAATTTATGTGGCCGTTCTCTGTGAAGTTTAGCAGTTTCCAACATCGGACTCGTACTTCAAAAAAGGTTCTTTCACATTTTTCTAATACCTGTCATCACTAAACCATGTGGAGCTCCCTACAAACAAAAGGTAGTTGCCAGAACATCTAACGCTCTAACCATTCATCCATTTTCTTTACCCGCTTTTCCTTTCCAGGTCACAGGGATCTAACGCTTATCTCCAGCAGTCACTGTGCAGGAGGCGAGATACACCCTGGACAGGTTGCAAGTCCATCACAGGGACACAGAGACAAACAACCACTCACACCTAGAGACAGTTTAGAGCTACCAATCAGCCTAACAGGCATGATTTTGTTCTGTGTGAGTAAACCAGAGTACTTGGAGAAAACCCATGCATGCACAGAGAGAGCATGCAAGACATTTATTTCAGAACTGAATACAAGAACCTCCCTACAAAGACGTGTCACCTTGTAGCATCGTGCCACGTAAAATGTTACTGTGTTGTTGTCGTCAGTGCTTAATATTTCATTTTAAATGATGAAACTTTGTTGTGACTTTTTCACAGTTTTATGGATATATAAACTTATTCATTGTTTTCTAGTGACATCCTTCACAGTAATATTTGTAAAATATGCATTAAATGTTTCTCGGTCTTTTTTCCCCTCATAACAATGTTTCTTACCTAAATGATGTCAGGAGAAGAGCTGAGCACCTCGTCTAAGAAGCAGGTTTACATAAAATATTGCCCAACATAATTTTATATACAAAACCATTAAAAATGAAAGACCTAGCTTTCCTTGAAAAACATTTATATCACCCACTTCCTTTCATACCAGGGTTCTGAGAAGACCTTATGTGTCAGTCACTTGTTTATTCTCATCATTGCTCTAAAAGAACCCAGATACTTTGTTATAGTTATTGTCTCAGAAAATGGAAAGCTCTCCTCAGCATTTGAGAGAGTAGACAGTCTGGGTTGTAACGCTCCGGATAAATACATTGATTTAAATGTGCAAAACTAGTGAAATACAACAAATATCACGATTCAGGACTCAAAAATGTGATAGGAGGGGGG